CCATTTCTACAGATGTAAAGAAAGATGCTGTACCTGTTTTAAACTAAAATTAAAAAACATTTATTAAAAAAAAATGTGTGATCCTTGCCATTTGAACTCTTACCAATCTGCAATCTATGGGCATAGAATTTATCCTGGAATGGAGCTGTAAAGAGCTGTAAAACTGACACCTTCGATATGTTCCCCTTCTGCCTAAGAAGGTATCTCACCTTTGATCTGTGCCCTTCACAACAGGGGGCCAAATGGCCAATCCTGGGAACAGAGGAAAGAGATAATGCTTATAAGGCTAGTGAGGAGTATTGTAAAGCCAGAACGTTATTCTACGCTTATTCTACGTCTATTCTATGTCTCTAACTGAATAAAAAGGAGCTTACATCTTCTCTGAAGGGTAATTCTTCCTTGCATATCCTTGGGGTATGTTGGGAACAACTGACCATCATGTCTTTAAACTTTGATCAAAGATTAAACACTGATTGTTATTCAAGCCTCCCTTTAAGTCTCATATTTGGCTCATTGTGACTTGGATGGGTTCTCAAACTTCTCTGGGTCTCAACGTATTCTCAAACCTTACACTATAATTGGGGTAATGCAAAAATATATAAAGGCTGCACATTGTTACATACGTGGAACTGCCATATGTGGAAGCAAAGTCTTGTGTGGTTATTTGGGGCAAGTTTGAATCTGTAACTCCTGAGGAGATAAATCATCTAGACTGCAAGGTTCCTCCACTGTGCTTGCTATTTGGGATGGAACATTTACTCAACCTACAATTCAGGGTTGCGCTGCTGAGACCACAAAGGACGGACTTTGTAATACTTGAAACATGGTTTTCGTAATACTGTTGCACTGGCTAATTAACACGGTTTTTCTTGTATTTTAAATTTGCTTTTCAATTGTATTGCTGATAATTTTCCATAAACCTTAACCTTCAAGAAAAAAAAGCCTCCCTTTCAGAAACTAGGACTGCTAGGGGAAGCATTTTCTTGTATTTTAAAGTTTATCCTCTGTAGCTCTCACGCTGCTGAGAGAGAACAAAGGTCGTCTCATCCCTCAGTCTCTCCCCCTTTTCCTTCTCCCACCGCCGAAGTCGTGTGCACATGCGCACGCGCGTGTTTTGGTTCCCCCCCCCCCCCTTCTCCTGCATGAATCAGAGAAATTGGCCCGGCAGCGCGCGCTCCCCCGCCAGCCTATTGGAAGCGCTGCCACCAGAAAGCGCCAAGTTCTCCAATTCCAACCATTCCCACTCCCGCTCCATAGAAACGCCAAGCCGGAGCTACGTAACGAGACGGAATTCGACGTTGGCTCGGAGTGGTAACCAATCCGAAGAGCGCTCCGGCTTTCGGTGTTTTTCTATTCCTCGAGGTCGGCACGTGGACCGGAGTGCTCTTCCCTGAGGTCGACCAATCCCAGTGCCGCCTCAGGAACGCCACGCCCCCTCTGCCTCCCCCACTCCCGCTTTCGCCCGCGGTGTTGTGCAATGGAGAAGCAAAAGCCCGGAAACTGTTATTCCGATCAGCCCCGAAGCGGGCGGTTGTATTTGGAAACATGACCCAGAACTGCAATGGGAGCGGCGGCTACACGCAACTTAGCGTTTCTGCGCGTTCTCCCAGCCAGCATCGCCAGTCGGTGGGCCGCGGGACCGCGGATACCAGGTATGCGTGGGAGTCACCGCTCCCCTTAAATAGCTCGCGAGTGGCTTGGGAAGCGGAAGGGTCAGCGGCGTTTCCAAAACTTGACGGGAGGGTGCTGATGCCGCGCTCGGGGAAGGGAACGTGTTGTTCGGCGGATACGTGAAACAGATTCTTCTTAAGTGGTGGCTTATAGGCTTCCCTTTAAAGAAAGACGTCGTGTAGGAAGTTTATTGCCTATCTTAATATCTTTTCATGTTATCTGATAGTATAAGACGTTCCAGTCCTGAAAGAATTTGAGGTTGGGGAGAAGAGGGATAAACTCTTGCTGGGTTCTTTAATTTGGGATGATGCTTGCAAGGAATGGCTCTTTGCTTTTGCAGTTGGCCTTATTTGAGCAGAAACCAATTCTGGGGGAATTAATGGATACATTGAAAGTTGAATACCAGCAATAGGGTGGCAACTGAAAGTAGTACCTGCAAACTGCTAGCATGTGGTCCTAGAAGTTTGCACATATTGCAATCACCATATGGAAGAATGGCAAGCAATGTGAACATAAAAGGGAAAAAATACAATATTTACTTCTAGGTGGTGTTCAAAATTCTTTTGTAATAAATAGTTAAGAAGAAGTTCCATATCTCACTATGTAGCACAGAAAGAAAATGGACTCTGGAGAAGAAGATGCTGCTGTCCTCCTGCCAGGGTATTTCCCCTTGGTTTGCTTTGAGATTATATGAAATCTTTTCTGGATTTCAGAGGAGAAAAGGAATCCTTTTCACATTATGTAGCAAATCTGAAAATTGACAAATATTGGATGATATTCTGAAAGGCAAGCTTAATATTTTATAGTGCTTTAGAATTGACTGAGATATGAACGGGATGTCTGGAAAAGCTAGATGCTGAAATGTAGGTACAAGGAAAATACATGAATTTCCCCAGGTTAGTTTCAGAGGTGTTTTTTTTTAAACAGATTCAGATCAGATAAAGTCTTACCATAATAATAATTGTGTGTGTGTGTATGTATATATATGTATATATATGTGTATATATGTGTAAAATTCTGTTATGATAAAAAATATATTAATGGGAGGTTGAACCTTTGGACATAGTCACCCAGCTTTTGATGTAACTTTGATGGTAGAATTTTGGCACTGTTGACATGGAATGCCCCGCAAGTACTTCATTGTCATTATTTAATATTTGAGGGAAATATAACCAATAAAGAGAGGACCGAAAGATATGTTGATAAAGCTAAATACATTTATATTAATAATGTAGCATTTTCAGTATAGAAGGGGAAATGTGCATGGTTGGTGTAGGTGATACACTGAATATAGTAAAGAGTCCAGAAGCAAAGTAGAAACTTCCAACAGCTATTGCTATGTAGGGTTTCAAATTCAGTTAGAATCTGTGAGCATAGTACTTGTCTAAGACTCTTTACAGCCTTTTTACCTGTTTCCAGAGAGGGTTTTGTTTGGTTTTAGCTTAGTAAATTGTTTGAATTTAGTATGGTGTTAGGTTGGATGTATTATAGTTGTATGTTTCAGTTACTTCCATGTTGGATCCAGTTTTTATAAATAAACCATCAGCAGCAAGCATTGGAGTAATTTGTTGGAAAAAGCTAGTCTGGCATTTGCTGCTTTTTGCAAAAACCAAGCAAAATATGTCTACAAATGAGGATTGTGTAGCATTCTAAAAAGGCCTCCAACCTTTAAAAACTAAAATATTACAAAAATGTTGAAGCATTATTACCAAAGAAGGAATTTCCCTTCATAGTATCTGCTTTCCCTTTGTGTAGAATGTTGGTAGGCAGGATAATGCTTTAATCTCCACAGCAATGACTTCATGTTGCTGCTATTGCTTTTCTTCCTTCTCTTCCTGTTTCTTCCCTTATTACAATTTGATTGCTACAGGGCAACCACAAATCCCAGAATATTCAAAATTGCAAGGCCAAAAGTGATTTTTGTTCCTCAGCTGAATTCTAAGTCATGGTTTTAGTTCTGTGGTAGAAATCTCACCCAAAAAAATAAATAATTGGAGGGGATACAAATGTTTTAAGGCATTCAGATTTATTTTGGCTAAGAAAGATATCAAATAAAGGAATTTTAAATATCAGTCCAAAATTTATCCAAGTACAGTTTAAGTACTTTAGATTAAAATTAATTGTATCAACTCACAAAAACAAAGGTTTTTCCTTACAACCTATAACTGACGGCAAACCTATGGCAGGTGTGCCAGAAGTGGCACACAGAGCCATCTCTCCGGACACGTGAGCTGTTGCTCATTGCTCTTCTGGGTTCTGGCCAGCTGGTCTTCATGCGCACAGGAACGTAGGAAACCAGAAGAACAGCCTCCTGATGTGCATGCGCGTGCCGGGAAGATGATCTCCTGGTTTCTGGCGCACACATGTGCACCAGCCAGCTGGTCTTCACGTGTGCAGATGTGCCAGAAACTGGAAGACCAGAAGATCATCTTCCCGGTGTGTGCATGTGCACCAGGCAGCTGCTCTTCCGGTTTCTGGTGCACGTCCTCCTGTTTAGATTCACCAACAGTGAGCTATAACAATAATTTATTTTTATGTACAATTTTTCCAAATCTCATAATGGCTCTGAGTAATAAAGTATGCATTAATATATAATGAAGAGGTACTGTAGCATTGTCGCACTGTAGCATTATCAAGGATAAAAATATGAGCTATATGGAGCGGAAGACATATCTGAAGTCCTTATGAATAGGAACAATGTATTGTTAGATAAATTGTATTCAAAACTACCAATGTTTACTTATATGCTCTTATGTTTAAAAAATGTTTCCCAAACCAAATATCTTTAAGAAGAACATCTTTTATACTATAAGAAATAAATTTTTAAAAAACCAAATAGGTTTCTGTTGTGATAAATTGTTTTCACTTATTACTTTGACATTCCTTTCTGCAAAATCTCTGTTGGGATAGAAAATTCTACATAGGGTATATTTATTGGTCATCCCTGCTTTAGAAGCAAAGGCAAAAAAATACCTTCAAATAAATGAACCAAAGGTGTGAATGTTGAAGTAGGGAAAGCAAATTATCAGTGAGGTAGGCTATTTTGAGCAAAGATCTATTTTTTATTCTTATACTTCAATTCTTAATCTGATTTTCAGATATAAATATAATTGCAAAGCAAATTTTGAGTGTAGTGAAGGATTACTAGAATTTGGAAATCAGAACTAAGGATACAGTACAGTAAATATTCTACATGTACCTAACTGAGGATGATCGTTCTCATATATGTGTGGCAAGAGTCCATGTTACTTAATCAAAGCTGTCATGTCTGTAGTCTATTGTTACAACTTTACATCTCAATCTGTTGAGACAGCTGTATTGTTTGTTAATTTCAACACGCTAAAGATTGCTGCGTTCCTGTAATTCAACTTGAGTGGTTACCTATTGACTTCCTGGCAGTAAATCCTCCTCCTCCAACTTACAAAGGTTGACTGGACTTGATGGAAAATGTAATTCCAGTACATCTGGAAAGATCTGATTGAGAAAAAGTATTTACTATATGTTTTAAAATGTCCTTTCCGAACATTACTAAGCTTTTTATTATATTTCTTTTTTTTATTATAGAAGCAAATGTATTACTGACTTTTTCAAACCAACTGTCAAACAAGGTAAGCAATGTTTCTTTTAATATAGATACCTGTGTGGCTTTTTGTGTTGTGGCCTTTACATTTGATTTATACATAAATAAATGTATGTTAAAATGTTTTATAAAGTTGTCCTCCAATGAAAAATCATATACAGCTGTATACATTAACAAGATTAAAATTTCAAAAATTGTGATTTAATGCACAGTTGGAAATTAAAATATGTGATTTATAGTGCCATGCTTCTTGGCTAGGCAATGGAAGGGATAAAGTTCATAGGTGAAAGAAACCTCAGAACTTCAGGAATAAGGTAATGTTCTGGGTTTGTTGATGAATGTTTACTGATTCATAGAGATTTTATGAAGCTGCATATCTCTCATAAAATGGACTAGAAATGAAGCCAGCTTAAGAAATATTTTTCCAGATTTAACGACTTTCCTTCACGCTGGGTGCTGTGATGTAGAGGTACTTGATCTGGAGTCCTGTTAGTACAGTCCCTTTTTTGTAGATTCTTCTGCTTTTTCTCTCCTCACAGGAACTCCCAAGTTTTTATGATCATATTTTTTGAGTATTGGTGAAAACAAATGATGGTTCTATTATTTTTCCTTAGTGGATCTGATGACAATTTGGGATGGAATTATGCTATTATATGGGCAGTTAAATTTCCAAATCTCACTAGCTTGAAGAAGCTAAAACATCTTGCTAAATAATGCACTGGGATAGCTGTCGCAAGATTGGAATATTTAGTAAATTACGTTTCTCCTTTAATACTTATTTCATAATATTATCTACAACTGCCCTTGTCTTTGGTCACTGACCATATGTTGAAGCTGATTGAATGTTGCCATCCAAAATAACAAGAGAAAATAGATCTACATTGATGGCAGTGTCCCTTATGTTTTTCCTATTCAGTTGAAATGCTGGGTTTTCTTACCTACAAAGTATTACTGATCAATGAGTATTCTTATAGCTGATAAATTTCTTGCTATGAAATATAATTGAATTGTATGACTTAGACCAGGGCTGTGAAACTTGCCGGCCGGATGTGTTATGTGCTGGCCATGCCCATGTCCAGTTTAGCGAAGGGTGGGGGGAGTCACAATATGTCATGTGATGATAATGTGACGATGCGAGTTTGACATTCCTAACTTACACCATGGGCAAGCAACATTTTTTTGACTCCAAGAACCCGTTACTGGGATCTTGCATGCTTTTGATACTCTTGGAAAGATTTAATCTTACCTAAAGAGATTCCAAACAATGTATTGGAAAGGATATTCCTCTCAAAAATCCAGTAGGTGCTGCAGTATTAACCCTTGTTCAAATAATCTCACCCAAAGACATATATATTTCAATAAATATCAAACAAATTATTTAATTATCAATAGTCAAAGACTTATACTGGCCATTGGAATATGACAGTTTTGACATACTTTATGAGATTCTAGAAACTGTGTACAATTAATCTGTTACTTATTTCTTTTACATGTATTAATGAAGACAGAACTGTGTTGTGCTCTCCAGAAAAAGGAAATGGACAAGTTGGACATACAGTTTCATGCGTAGACCATGTTAAAAAGAATACATCTTCTTCAAAGAAAAAAAAAAGGAAGAAATTGCCTTGCTCACCATCAGGCAGAAGCCCAATAATTGATGCTTTATTCCGAAAGGCTAAGTCAGAGAAAAACAACAGTTCAGAAAATGGTGTTTGCAAAATATTTAATGATCCAAAACCTGTGGTTCGGAGACTGTTCATATCTAATGCCTTACCTGATGGTTCTTTCCTATTAAAAGATCAAAATTACCCAACAACTTTGGAAAGAAATGAGAACTATCCTGTTCAGACAAGGACACATTTAATAGATAATAATAGCAGACAACATAAAACAGAACATGAAGACCTAGACACAACTAGTTCAAGCTTGAATAAATGGCCTTCCACTTCAGGAAATAGTCTGAAGAAGCAGAGCCACGTAACTCAGCGTCAAAAAACAGACTATTCCAGGTTGCCACAAGTCAGTTCAAATAGTTCTTCATCTCCAAAATCATTAGGAACCATTTGCAGAAAAAGACACGAGAAGGTGAAAAAAACTGCACCGTTGTTTCTGAAAATAAATCTTTAGAAATTATTTTTTTCCTATTTATATATATTTAAAGAATAATAACTGCATAGTATATTAATACAGGTAGTCCTTGACTTAAAGCAATAGCATTTAGGCTTAGATATGGCCTATAGAGTTTTACTCTCTGGGTAGTTTGCTGTGTAGAAGCATTTGCATATTACCTGCAACAACCTAGGTCCTCATTTTACCAACCTTGGAAGTATAGAATCCTGTCAGATTGAACTCCAGGCTGTGGGCAGAGTTTTGCCTGCAATACTGCACTTTAACCACTGCCCTACAAGGGCTGAAACCAGTCACTTAGTTCAGAGTTCCAGGAGATACTCTCCTCAAAATTATTTACCACCTGGTTCCAAAATTATGGCCACTGTAGGACCTCTACAGTTGTTCGTCCTATGACTGGCTGTAGAAATGCTATAGCGTGTCGTCCTGTTTCCTCTCCCCCCCCCCTATTTATTTCCCCACCCACCCACCATATTCTTGCGGGCCTTGGGCCTCCTTCCCACGAGGTTGGGCCCAACACCTTTCTCACCTTTTGAAGATTTCAGGCACTTGGGTTAGGGAAGGACAGTTTGCTCTGTTCCTGGGCCACATGATGTAATCCTGGAAGTAACCACTATGTTTTGAGCACATTGAATTGTGGGCACTCCAAAAGTAGCATCTAATTCAGGATTGCACTACACAGATTAGGGATGGAACACATTGCTCTACTTCCATAACTCAAACTCTCGATCACATTCCAGAGCTCATGCTAGGGAAGTACAGCATGCTTCTTTGTTCCTGGCCACATGGCATAGTCCAGAAATGGCTGCCATTTTCTCTGATTTTAAAATAATTATAATGCTAATTGGATTGAGAAAGTGAGGGTTTAACCCAGTGACTTAATGCAAGCTCTGCTGCAGCTGGGAGCTCATTGTTTCTTCTGTAGCTCCTGGCCCTCACAAATCCACCAGAAGAATTCTGCAATCTCCTTGTGAGGGGCAACCTTCTAGAGCCCAAGAGAGTGGTCTCTTGGTTTTTCCTTGTCTGGCCTAATGCCTGAGTGCAGGTCTTCAGCACAATGTTGCCTCTACTCCTCTGAAGAGTCTTAGCCTACCATTTCCTCACCCAGAAGCCAAAAAAGCTCTAAATGTTTATTAGGTTTTTAATTGTACTAAACCATAATGTAGTTGGGTTTTACATTACTGTGTTGTGTGATAGTAGCAATTGTGACACAGGCTAAATTCTGAACTTTGCCTATGTAATGATTTTCTAAGAGAGTTGCTTCACCTTGATTGATTTGCTATAAACTAAAGCTCCCTTTTACCTTTGAATCTCTTTAAATGTTTTATCAGTTCTAAATTTCTTACTTCTTTTAAGATTCTGTGATTCCGTAGGCGATATTTTAACTGCTTCAAATAAACAGGAATGGTACTTTTTAATTCTGAAATGTCTGCTGTACTGAAAAGATCTATATTCTGTAAAAGCTTACCTGTGTATTCTAAAACCTTTTTCTGTATATTCTTATTTTAAGCGCACCAAAGATTTCTTAAGAAAAAATTCAAGCTCATCTTCACTGGAATCTTCTTCAGGTACAAACAGAAAAGTAAATGATGTAACATAAAATTTTAAAAAATATGCTAGCTCATTACACCTTGACTATTATTCAAATAAATTATAGGGCCACCCCTCTTACAACAGTGACTCAGGGCATCACATAAGAATTAAAATAACGAGTATCCATATGTAATCCACAAAGCCTGAAGTTAAAGGGGGAAGAAACCCCTCACTCCAATCAAATAATCTCACCTAACCATCAAATTCTAGGAGTAACTGCCAGGTATTCAAAGCCTTGAGAAAGTTTAACACTGTCGGAGCAATACAGTTTTTGGAGGGATGTTATTCCATGGGGCAGGTGCTGTCACAAAGGCAACTTTGTGCAACTAATTATAGTAGCATGGCACTGTGATGGAAAGGACCTGGAATACGCTCTTTGCACAACTAAGGCTTTATAGGTGATAACATCACCTTAAATTGCATTCAGATGGCTATTGAGAGTTAATGCAGTTCATAAAACAGCAATGGTATATAAATGTAGCAAGAAATGTTAAAATGTTCCTGTGCTGTAGTTTTGTGGACCAGCGGCAGTTTCTAAATGCTCTTCAAGAGCAGCCCCTTGTAAGATGTGTTTCAGAAAACCAGGTGAAATATAACTAAGGCATGAGTCACATGCATAAAGAATGGATGCAATTATTGTATAATGTCATGTATGCCTTTTAGTTCCAAAATTCAGAGTTGTTTACATAGCTTTTAAGCTATTATCTTGTTTACTATCCCATGAACTCTAGCTGACTGAACTTTCTAAAAGTAATAATTTTAGAAACTAATGCCTATTTTTCAGACTAAAAATATTTAAAATTATATTTTTGTGAAGATTTCATTTTAAATCCTAGCTCCAAATTAATGTATGCTAAGTATGTTTAAAAAGCTATATTAGTAAACCCAAGTATATTTTATCGCATTTTTGAACTGCCCATCTCACTCCTTGGGATGGCTTACAGTATAATAAAAATATAGATTAAAACATATGTTCATTGTTTCATCAGTTTCTTATATTTTTTGAAGTTTCTATTTCTTTTTTTTTTACTCACTAAAAGAGCAGGAACTTACATACTTATAGAAGAGAATATATTGTAGGTTGAACGGTGGAGTCCTTGGTGCTGTCTGACCTTGGTTGTTTATTCAACTGAGTAATCTCTTCAGGGATTAGCATGTAAACAACTAAATTCAGGCAGCACCAAGGATTCCACAAGTACAAACGTTTGACCTTGAATGATACTGTTTAGTAACTTTTATCTCTCACATTTTTTCCTTAATCTTGAGCTATGAAATTTATTCATGGCTCAACATTTTTTTGACATGCTATTCACAATTAATTTCATAGTAATAGTATTGAATACTTTAGGGAATTAAATATAGTACACAGTTGCTACAGCATTTAATTTCCTGAAGTTTACTGCTTCAAAATATATACTACTTAACATTATACATTTTGTGGATATGCATGCATGCAAGAGGAGAAAATAATCCCTTTCATTATTATTTTGACCATTTGAATAGTTAATAATGAATAGTGTGTGATCATTTTATTTTCATTTTACAGATGAGTCGTCTTCAGCACAAGCTTCGAAAAGTGTGTTTCATTCAGGATTAAGCTCTGATAAGACTATTGTCACAAAAAGCCAGCCTAGTCCTACATCTTATTCCAGTGCTACAACTTCATTTGGAAGAGCTAACTATAAACATCCTAGAAAGCGGAAAAGAATTTCATCAAAAACACATATGAAACATTTACAGAATGTTCAGACATTAAATAAACACAAACATGGTAGTTCACACATTTCCCATAATACTAATTACTCAAAACACAGAATAACTGCTCACAAGAATTTCCAGCCAGCAGATCTAGATTGGTCTAGCGGTAACTTGCCTATTTCAGTAAAAAAATCTGAAGCTGAAGAAAATGAAAATAAATCATATAGATCCACTAGAAGTAAAAATGACCAAATCCAAATTTCAGATACTAGCAAGAGGAAATTACAAACATCTACTCCTCTTATTTATTTAGAAACACGAAATAATGCTTCTACAATTCTTTCAGAAAAAATTGCTGAGCCCCTTGGATGTTCTTTGGGAGAGTGTGACAGTGTTGTCTCACTTGAAGATTATACTTGTGACACTATTCCTAATTCTTCAAATAATTTAAATACATCTGACAATGAAGCGTATGAGTTAATTCAAAAATTAAAGAGCATTTCTGATAGCGATGCTGAGGTCTCTGATTGCAGCGTGGACAGTAGCGAAGAAGAGACACTCATCCCTCTTGAAAAAATATTATTCCAGAGTGTCAGACCAGCTACAAAAAAGTCAGAAGAAGCTGTGGATGAGGATGAAATAACAAGCACAAATTCTACGACACATAATGCCTCTGTAAGTAATTCTCGTTGATTAGAAAGTCTTATCTACTGAGATGACCATAGGCATAAATATCCTCATGAAAACCAACTCTTTACTTGTACAGCCCCCAGCCGTATTTTACTTTTTAAAAATTTTAAATATTGGTATAATTTTACATGAAAAAAATTCCAGAAAACCCTCATTATAATATGAAGATAGCAACTATATTATATATGCATACATACATACATACATACATACATACATACATACATATGCAAGCCATTGCAAAAGGGAAGAATTTTCACACTAGAGAGTTTTTTTTTAATTTTTTTAAGTTTTTATTTTACACACACAAACACATCAACAAGAACAAACATGACTTAAGACAACATAGGAACAAGAAGTTCCATCATATATCATACAGCAGTTCCGTATCGGTTTCTTTGTAGTTAGTGTTTTTCCCTTTCTATACCTTTCTATCTTACATTCATGGTCTCTCTAATCGTTATCCATTTTTATGTATAATTCTATATTTATTTATACTTAGCTATTTACAAGCACATATTGTTTATCTATAATATGCTATATATTCTTACTATCATTTATTCTCTTACATACAATTCTAGGTATACATTCACATGGTTTTCTGAAACACATCTTACAAGGGGCTGCTCTTGAAGAGCATTTAGAAACTGCCGCTGGTCCACA